CATGTAGGTCTGTCAGGTCATTTGAAGTAGGGACTAGGACTTCCCTCCTGCTTCTAGGTTAAGGCAGTATCCCTCCATGGGGATGTGTTCGCAAGGTCCTTTTGTGCACCAGGGATACATCCTGGTTCCACTGTCTGAGGTCCCTTAGACTACTCAGTCTTTCTGGCTGAGACCCATATTCGGAGGGTGGGGGAAATATTGATGTTTAATAAGGATCAGGAGAAACAGATAGGCCAAATAGATGTTTATTCAGGGAGAAATAACTTACAACACAGACAGATGAACACCAGCAGGTTCCTGGTCCCAAGGATGCCTCCAGATGTACTCCTGTCCCCATGCTGCAAGCAAGAGAGCTCTCCAAGCCCCCTCCTCAGACTTAGTTCCCCCAGGTCACGCCTGGCCCTGTCTCCACCCCCAATGGGCGTGGTCTATGCCACAGGTGTGGACAAAGTGAATATCTCACTACAATTCCCCTTTTAGTCTAAAGAAAAGATTTAGGCTTGATACAAAACTATATACAAAACAGTGAATAAGAAGTGTGCTCTAAGACAAGGAAAATCGAGAGCATACAAATTTAAGACCTAACTATGTAGTCCTAGGGTGAAGTTGAAATGGTGTTTACAATAGAGTTGTCCTAAGTTGGAAAGCTTAAGTCTAGTACCTAATATATCTAACTAGGAAGAGAGAATAATAGTTGTGATAATTTAATCTTCAACCTCATCAAAGACCTGAGAAGTAAAATAACAATACTAGGGTAGGCAGGAAGTGCAGATGGGCAACTTCCAAATGGTGCAGCAAGGACAGAAACAGCAAGCTACCTGGACAGACACCAAAGGTCTCACAGCAACGTTGGTACAGCCAGTTTTGGCTAAGACCTAGAGTACCTGATAGACCACAACAAAGCAGGGAGGTAGAAAGGCTGTCTCACCCTGACTTGGCAGGGTTCAGCAGTCTTCTATGTTTATATCCTACAAGCACATAGGACCACATGTCCAAATCAGTGGTCGAGGTGGGGGCAGTTCTTTGCCCAAGAGGCCATAGCTGAAACAATGTTGCTCCAGAAGGAGCAACAACAGTGTCCATTTTTTTTTTTTTTTTTTTTTTTTTTTTTTCGGGAAAGTGCATGGTGCTGTCAGGAGCAATAGTGTCTCATGTCAATGGAGAACTAATATTAAAACATTTAAATGTCATGTTCTGTAGGTCTATGAAGTGCTTGAAGATTAAGCATCTATGGCTGACTAATCTCATAGGTGTAGGAAACATGGGTGAAAATAATCTGTAATACTCAGGAACTTAGCTATAACACTGATTGAAACTTCCCTGAGTAAATCAGGGACAAATACCTAAGCAATATAACCATGTACGTATATATACATGTAAATCCCTAAAGCAGAGGTAGAGTAGAAATGTCTAGACCAGAGGTAGAACTATAAAGTGCAGCATGATAAAAATAGCCTAAATTGTATCAATATACAAAAATGTCTTGAACATAAGTAAAAGTATACATACATAGAATATGGTAAGGATATTGTGCAAAAAACATCATAACTGGAGAAATTTTCACAATATGACAAAATACACAATTTATATACAATTCTGAAGGGAATAAAAACTTAATTTTACATAGGTTACCACATATAACAATGTAAGATGTATAATACTATTATCTCACTATTACTAAAATAATTCACAAGAAGATAGGCTAATCTACCCATATCCCATCTAAACCACACCTTTCCCAATCATACCCAATCCCTGTCTAAAAGAGATACCCGAGTCTAAGCATCACCTTCCATACCCAACCCTAAGAAGATGAATATTATCCCTAAAAGAGTAGGGAAAGGGGGCATCATTATTTTAAGATTACTTCCTGCTGAAATGGGACAATGATTGCTCCATGGGATCCTGTAGGAAGAAAATTTTTAGCAACAAAATTTTGACAGGACTGTCTGTGACATATGTAGCTAGTCTCCTCATGGCAGGAAATGCTTGACTGGAGTTCTATCTGAAATTCTGGCCAGGGCGTAATAATAAGGTGCACCATAACAGCTAGCTTGTCAAGAGTTGTCTCAAGCAAAGTAGTCTCAAACCGGTTTTAGGGTGACATTTGTAGTCCAGATGCATCAGGTTGAGTCAAGTGGAAATGATGAAGTAGGGCCCATCTTCTTTCCGGAGAGTTCAAAGATTGCTGTTAGGAACTGTTATTATTCCTTGTGGAAATTTAAACATTGATATCAACGTAAAATTTTCAAGTTTTAAGGTATGCATGCATATAGGGGAAGGCAACAATAAGCATTAAAATGTATATGAGAAAATTAGGATTTCAAAGAGAAAATTGCATATAAGCAAATGAGTCCCCAGACTTTGTTTTTTTTCTGCCTTACACCATATGAAGACCAGAAGAAGAATAAAATACAATAACATATGTGTTTAAAAATGTCACAATGAAACCCATCCCTTTGTATGCTAACAACAATAACAATATTAATAAACCATTCTTAAGAAAGGCATCATGTGGAACAGGAGTTAATTAAAACAGGAAGGGGAAAAAACAGTTGTTAATTTGACAGCCACTATGATTATCTGGTGTTCAGCTCTGGGAAGACCTTCTAAGGAGTCGGTGTATAAGATGCATCTCAGAACTGCCCCTCTGAGGGGCTTCTAACTCATGGATATTAACAACCTTCTGATTCTGTTTTGTTTATGGATGGTAAGTGGCTTCCTATTCATGTCTCACACCTTGCCAGTAAAAGAATCTCCAGTACTGGGGGCAACAGGTAAGAGGTGTGAGCGAAGGGCTAACAACAGCTTAGCTCTGTGCAAAGCCATTTGAAGCCTGTCCAGAGCTGGTTGATGCAATAATGGGCAGGTGTGCTGGTGTGCTGGGCAGTTTTATGTCAGCAAGGGTCATCTGGGTAGAAGGAATCTTAATCCAAGAAATATCTCCATGGGACTGGCCTGTAGGCAAGTCTGTAAGGAATTTTCTTGATTGATAGTTGATGTGTGAAGACCTAGCTTATTGTGGGTGGTCCTGTGGTAGATCAGAAAACAAATTGATCAAGCCAGGAGGAGCAAGCCAGTAAGCAGCTCTCCTCTGAGGTCTTTGCATCAGCTCCTGCCTTCTGGTTCCCGTCCGTTTCAGTTCCTGCCTGACTTTCCTTGAGGATGGGCTGTGCTGTAGAACTGTAAGATGAAATAAACCCTTTCCTCCCCAAATTGCCTTTGCTTGTGGAGTTTTAGTGCAGCAATAGAAGCCCTTACCAAGACAGACAGAGATGATATAAAGTCATGCATAGAAAAATAGTCTAATACATTCCATGACTTTGACTGCTTTTATGGCTACAGCTGATCTTACTTACCACTGTTATCCAGCTGATTATCCTTTTCTTAGTCATCCTAGATTCCATTCATATGTCTTTCTAGTGCATCCCCAGGTTCTCTGTTGTCTGTTTACCAGAATATAACTACAGAATTATATTATGTACAATGTTAAGATGGTCAAAAGTCCTATCATATTCTAAGAAAGTGTGTTTCTGGAGCCAGGTGTAAAAGGTAAATATGTACTACTGTCCTTTCCATGTAAAAATGAGCTGCTTCAATTCTCCTTACTATGGAAGGTGAGAAGAAACAAATTTGCCAGATCAATAACAGCAAATCTAGTACAAAGTCTGTCTTGTTCTTTTCTGGGAGATACATATCTGAAATAGCTGATGTGGCATAAACTTTCGTTTAGTTAATCTCCCTCCCATAACCAATGTGGTCCACAGTTCTTAGTTTGTCTAGCGCCTGCATTAGTGATTGCTTGGGACTATAATGGATATCAATGCTCCTGGACATTGTGCATCCATCCACAAGTGTGCACATGCACATGGAGGACAGAGGCTGATGGTTGATGTCATCCTCAGTCACTCTCCATTTTATCTTTTGGGACAAGGGCTCTCACTAAACCTGGAGTTCTCCCAATTCACCCAAGCTGGTGGCAGGCAGGCTCAAGGGACTCACTTTATCTCTGTCTCCCCAGGGCTGGCATTACAGATTACGCTCTTCACGCTTGAACAGCTGTTTACTGATTGATGTTTCCTCAGTCTACTTCTGCACTTATAGAGTCTGCAATGGTGTTGCTAACCTCTGCAGACCCTACTGGTACATATTGACATATTAACATCACTGAGGAGAATGACAGTTTCAACTTTACCATAGTGACCCTGCAGCTCCATATATTAAAAAACCCAGAGACAGATTAGGGTTTGAGCTTCAAGCTTCAGAGAGGCAAAGCAGCCAAGCCAGTAGGTCTTATAGCTCTACCCATCTGAAACAGCAGTTCTGTCCCCATGAATCCTCACAGACAAAAAACTCAGTTCCTGTCTCCTCCTCCTTTTATTTCCTTTCCTTGCCCAGCCATATATATCACTCCTGTCTCCACCTCCCTAGTGCTGGGATTAAAGGCGTGTGATTCCAGGTGCTAAGATCACCTTTGTGTAAGCTATTTCTTTTAGGACTGGATCAGTCCTAAGTCAGTGTGACCTTGAACTAACAGATACCTCTACCTCTTAATCCTGAGTCCTGGGATTATAATGTGAGCCACTACCGCCTAGATTTACAGCTGCTAGGATTAAAGGTATATATCACCACCACTTGACCTCTATAGCTTGTGGCTGGTTTTGCTTTCTGAATCGCTAGGCAAGCTTTAATAAATCATAAATAATGTATCACCACATGACCCTTCCTCTACAGGCAGAAGAAGGTCTGCTGACTATGGCTGCATTCTAATTGTATAGTCATAAACTAGAGAAATCACCAAAGTTGGGTCTAATGGATACTGAACTTACTGTTGGGAGCTTGCACTAAAATTTCATTTGTTGCTTGGCTTCTCTGTGTACTCCAAACAGAAAAAAACGGGAGTTTTTCAGGTTTCTTATCTTAGTATTGACACAGAATCATGGGCATTACAGGTAATGATTCGATGTAGGGAGCCGTTAGATGTAGGGAGCCGTTACAAGATGGCGCCGAATGGTGAACAAGCTAGTGCGCAGGCACTGGGTAACTTTCCATCCCTTGGGCTCCGCCTCTCCCGTGGCGTCATATGGTCTGAAGAGCTGCAGCCAGTCAGGGGGTGACACGTCCAAGGCGGCGGTTGCCATCCTATATAAGGGATGGGTTTTTGGGAGTTTGGGGTCTTTGTTCTGTAAGCTTATGCTCTCCCTCTCAAGAGGCATTAAAGCTTTACTGCAGAAGGACCCTGAGTGTGCTGAGTCGTTCTTGCTGGCAAGACGGTAGCACGGGACAACTGGTGCCGAAACCCGGGACTGAGACCTCACCATCGTCAGCACCATCGGAGACCCCTTGACTACAAGGAAGATTCAGAACTGCAGGCAGATACGCTCGGAGAGATATGTCTTTTCTGGACCTTGGTTTGGGATTATCTCCACCGTGGGAAGGTAGTGTTGAGGCTTTTGTGATTGTACTAGGGGCCCTCTTGATCTTTCTTGCCATTATGTTTTGTTATCACTGTTACCGTAAACTAGGCAAAGATCTTGACTGCAAATGGGCAGATGGAGACTTGAGACTAGGGACAAAGGCAATTTGGAAGCTTGTTAAGAATTGCCTCGAAGATGAAGCCTGTAAGGGCGCCATAGCAGAAGGTAGGAGCACCCTTGAAGAGGTTCAGGATAGCATGTCAGAAACCGAGCGTAGTGAGAGGTTGGGCGTGCGCAAGAAAAAATCCGTCCCTAAGAAGGAAAAAGCCCCCCCCCCCGTAAGTCTGAAGACAAGGGGGTGTACTTGCCAGACCACAGGGATCCTCCCCCTGTTGTTACATCAAAGGGAGGAGCTGGCTTATACCCTGTACGTGAGCTTGAAGCCTTAAATTTAGATAGCTCCGATGACTCCGAGGAGTCAGGAGATGAGGTTTTAGATACTGAGGAAGAGGCCGAATTAGAAGAAGAGGCTGCTAGATATGAGGAAGAAAGATACCACCCGGATGGTTACGGACAAAACAGCAAAAGGTCTCAGGGACGGCAGCGTCAACCAGTCCTCTCGCAGGCTGTCCCTTCGGCGCCTCCTGCCTATAAGATGCATCCGAACTCGTACTCTTTTCTCCCAGATAGGGTAAAAAGAAAGTTGTGCCTCGCTTACCCTGTGTTTGAAGGCACTGAAGGAGGACGGGTTCATGCACCCATGGAATATAATCAGATAAAAGAGCTGGCAGAATCAGTTAGAAAATATGGGGTTACAGCTAACTTTACTCTTGCACAACTAGATAGACTGGCCATGACAGCTATGACGCCAGCCGACTGGCAGACGGTCGCGAAGGCGGCACTTGTCAGCATGGGCCAATACTTGGAATGGAAAGCACTCTGGCATGAGGCCGCCCAAGAGCAGGCCAGATCTAATGTGATAGCCTTGACTCCTGAACAGCAACAATGGACATTTGACCTACTAACAGGCCAGGGTCATTTTGCAGCTGATCAAACAAACTACCATTGGGGCGCCTATCAACAAATCACCAGTTCGGCCATTAGGGCCTGGAAGGCGCTCTCCAAGAAAGGAGGGATTGATAAACAGCTCACTAAAATTATTCAAGGGACCCAAGAGCCATTTTCTGATTTTGTGGCCAGAATGACCGAGGCTGCCGGTCGTATTTTTGGTGATTCAGAACAAGCCATGCCTCTAATTGAACAGCTAATTTTTGAACAGGCCACCCAAGAATGTCATGCAGCTATAGCCCCGAGGAAGAATAAGGGATTACAAGATTGGCTTAGGGTCTGTAGAGAACTTGGAGGACCCCTCACTAATGCAGGGTTAGCTGCTGCCATCCTACAGTCTCAGAAGCGCCCCTTTAAGGGGCCTGACATAAGAACTTGCTTTAGATGTGGAAAAGCAGGACACCTAAGAAAAGACTGTAAAATGTCAGAAAGAAAGAGAGATCCACCGACTCTTTGCACTCCTTGTGGCAAAGGCTATCATAAGGCCACCCAGTGCCGCTCGGTGAGAGATATAAAGGGCAGGATTCTCCCTCCCATGGAAACACCAACAAGCAAGATTCCAAAAAATGGTGCAATGGGCCCTCGGTCCCGGGGCCCACTAAAATATGGGAACAGATCCGCCAGGGTGATGGATGAGGCCCCCCCGGAGATGGAACAAGAATGGACCTGTGTGCCGCCTCCGACTTCTTATTAATGCCTCAGATGGGTATACAGCCCGTCTCTGTCCAAACCCCCAAACCATTGCCGAAAGGGAGTATAGGTCTCCTTCTCGGTAGAGGGTCGCTCACATTACGTGGTCTAATTGTTCACCCAGGCATCATTGACAGCCAGCACTCTCCTGAGATCCAGGTGTTATGCTCTAGTCCAAATGGGGTCTTTTCTATCAGTAAAGGAGATAGAACAGCTCAATTACTACTCCTCCCAGGCAGCCCCTATCAAGAGTCGGGGAATAGGCGGATGGGCTCTTCAGGACAGGACTCAGCCTACCTAGTTGTTCAACTCCATGATCGGCTAAAATTGTCTCTATGGGTTAATGGCAAGAAATTTGAAGGTATTTTGGATACAGGGGCAGATAAGAGTATAATTTCCTCTCACTGGTGGCCAAAATCTTGGCCTGTTATAGAATCATCACATTCTTTACAGGGATTGGGCTACCGTTCTCATCCCACTATTAGCTCTTCTACACTCACTTGGAAATCAATGGAGGGCCAACAAGGACAGTTTGCCCCATACGTGCTCCCTCTCCCTGTTAACTTATGGGGACAAGACATAATGCAAGGTATGGGGCTTATTTTATCTAATGAATATTCACCACAAACTATTAACATCATGAAGAAGATGGGATATGAGTCAGGAAAAGGATTAGGACGTCTAGAACAAGGGCGGATAGACCACATTTCCCCAGATCCAAATCAAGGAAGACAAGGCCTGGGTTTTTCCTAGGCGCCATTGGGGCAGCACGGCCTATACCATGGAAGACAGAGGATCCGGTATGGGTTCCCCAATGGCCATTAACCTCTGAAAAACTAGAGGCTGTAACCAATCTTGTTGCAGAACAATTGGCCTTAGGGCACATAGAACCATCAACCTCCCCTTGGAATACTCCAATTTTTGTTATTAAAAAGAAATCAGGGAAATGGCGTTTGCTCCATGATTTAAGAGCCATTAATGAGCAAATGTATCCTCTTGGTGCGGTGCAGCGAGGCCTTCCCGTGCTTTCTGCTTTACCCAGGAATTGGAATTTGATAATACTAGATATCAAAGACTGTTTTTTCTCTATTCCCCTGTATCCTCCTGACAGGTCGCATTTCGCGTTCACTGTCCCCTCCATTAATCATATGGAACCTGACAGACGGTTCCAATGGAAGGTGTTACCTCAAGGCATGACAAATAGCCCTACCATATGTCAATTATATGTACAGGAGGCTCTTAGACCTATCAGAGAACAATATCCAAGTTTAATTGTGATTCATTATATGGACGATGTGCCATAAGGATTTAAGGATTCTTCGAGAGGCTTACCCTTTGCTGCTTAAAACATTACAACTTTGGGGTCTCCAGATTGCCACGGAAAAGGTCCAGATTGCGGATACTGGACATTTCCTAGGTTCTGTGGTTCTCCCAGACAAGATTCTTCTGCAAAAATTAGAGATTTATAGGGAGAACCTGCACACCTTAAATGATTTCCAAAAATTATTGGGAGACATAAATTGGCTGCAGCCGTTTTTAAAGATTCCCTCCGCCGAATTAAAGCCTCTATTTGATGTTTTGGAAGGGGACACCCATATCACCTCCCCTAGATCATTGACACCCGCAGCGGAGACAGCCCTCCATTTAGTGGAGGAAGCCATTAAAGAAGCACAGTTGAGTCGCATTGATTTACTTCATCCATTCTCCCTTTGTGTGTTTAAAACAAAAAGATTACCTACCGCAGTATTATGGCAAAATGGGCCTTTGTTATGGATCCACCCACATGCCTCTCCTCAGAAGATTATTGATTGGTATCCTGCAGCGATAGCTCAGCTTGCCCTTAGGGGCTTGAAGGCCGCTGTCAGCCATTTTGGTAGACATCCCGCAGCTTTAATTGTTCCCTACAATTCTTTTCAAGTACAGACATTGGCCGCTACCTCTGATGATTGGGCCATATTAGTTACCACCTTTTTAGGAAAGATTGATAATCATTACCCTAAACACCCTCTGTTGCAATTTGCTGCATCTCACCCTGTTGTGTTTCCCCGGGTAACCTCTCCCATTCCGTTAAAAAATGGGCCAGTGGTATTCACAGATGGCTCCAAGACTGGCCTGGGAGCTTATGTTGTGGGCTCCCAGATGGTCTCGCGGCAATATGCCGAGACTTCTCCTCAGGTAGTAGAATGTTTAGTAGTTTTAGAAGTTTTTGAAAAATTTCCAGGTCCTCTTAATATTGTTTCTGATTCCTCCTATGTGGTTAATGCTGTAAACTTATTGGAGATGGCTGGTGTCATTAGATCCACTAGCAGAGTGGCATCTTTATTCCAGAAATTACAAGATTGCTTGCTAACCAGACAGGCTCCCATGTATATTACACATATTAGGGCTCATTCGGGACTTCCTGGCCCGATGAGCCAAGGCAATGATTTGGCAGATAAAGCCACAAGACTGGCTGCGGCGGTTTTTTGTGTCCCCGCCCCCCCCCCCCGTCCCCACTCCCCCCTCCCCCCGCTCCATGACAACTTTCATGTTACCTTTGAGACCCTACGCAGGCGCTTCTCTCTCACCAGGAAAGAGGCACGTGATATTGTTACTCAATGTCACAATTGTTGTCAGTTTCTCCCTGTACGCCATACTGGTGTAAATCCAAGAGGGATTTTGCCATTACAAGTATGGCAGATGGATGTCACTCATGTTTCTTTCTTTGGGAAACTTCAATACGTGCATGTGTCAATAGACACCTGCTCCGGCGTTCTCCATGCAACACCACTCACTGAAGAAAAGACCTCCCATGTAATTCAACATTGTCTTGAGGCATGGAGTGCCTGGGGAAAGCCTAAATGCTTAAAAACTGACAATGGACCTGCTTATACTTCTCGGAAATTTAAACAATTTTGTGCACAAATGCAAGTCACACATATTACAGGCTTGCCATACAACCCTCAAGGACAGGGCATCATTGAGCGCACACATCGCACGCTCAAATCATACTTAATTAAACAAAGAGGGAATAATAAAGGATTTGCCCCCCGTACCACGAGTCGCCATAGCAGTGGTACTCTTCACCATAAATTTTTTGAATTCAGATGAGCATGATCAGACCGCAGCAGAACGGCATTGCTCAGACCCACATCAACCTAAGGAATTGGTGAAATGGAAAGATGTGTTAACCAATGAATGGAAAGGCCCGGATCCTATTCTAATAAGATCCAGGGGAGCTGTTTGTGTTTTCCCACAGAATGAAGAAAATCCCTTCTGGGTTCCTGAAAGACTCACCAGGACAGTCCTGGAGCAGAAGGATACAGCAGACCAGACATATGAAAGGGGGGAGCGAGCTGCTCCTCCTAATGTCACTGATGATGATCGAGATCTCAGCTGTCCAGGGGGAACCACGTTGGGGAATCATGTCAACGTTCCCACTTCCGATGCCGGTGATGTATAATGCACAAGTTTTTCCCCGATTCTTTGCCACCAATAAAGAGCTGGGCTTAGCTTTCCTGCCTAAGGATGAACAAATTCAGGATCTTTGTGAAGGGCTTGTTCTCTTTCTCCCCCAAATATGGGTATGGGAACTAATTTCACATCCTTGGATCCCATGCGATCCAACCTTAACCCTTTTGACCAATGGCTGCTCTGTGGCATTAATGGAAGCTGCACGGATCTTACATCTATGGCAATGCTTAAAGGGGGCAAAAGTGAAAAGGGGCAGTTGGAGTTTGACTGGAAAGCGTCTCTTGGGAGCAGCCTCCAGTCGGGTCACAACTCTGGGTCATTTAGTTGGACTGCCTCTGATATAAAGTATCATTCCTTCAAACATACAGATTATGATGCTACACCAGTGTGTGTCTGGCCTCCTTTTATTTGGATTGTGAGCAATATTAATAATACTGAGCTTGATTTAGATTGCAAATTAGGGGACTGTTATTATACTTTGTGCTGGGATGCTGATAAATTTCCTTTAGCTGTAGTAACTCGCATGCCACTCTTTGTGCCCATCCCGGTGGATACACCTAGCAGTATGATGCTTTTTAGAGAAAAAAAGAGATTTTGGGATCTCTGCAATTATTGTTGGTATAGTGGCCGCCACAGCAGTTACTGCAGCCATTACGGCTTCTGCCCTTGCATTGTCCACTTCGGTACAAACTGCACAGACCATTAATGGTCTGTCGGCCACTGTCTCTGAAGCCTTGGATAGACAGGCCTCAGCAAATACTCAGATATAAGGAGGCCTGATGTTGGTGAACCAACGTATTGACTTCATACAGGAACAACTAGATACTAGGCTGCGAGCATAAGCTCCCTGGCCTGTGCGTCACTTCCATCCTATATGAGAATTTCACCAAAGCGGCTAATTTGTCTAAAAGCCTTTCTCAGTTTATGTTGCAGAATTGGACCTTTGAATTTGAGTAGATGCTACGTGAATTGAGAGCCGCTATTATTCAGATTAATTCCACGCGCCTGGATCTGTCATTGACGGAGGGATTGTCATCATGGATTGCTTCAGCTGTCTCCTATTTTAAGGAATGGGTGGGGGTGGGATTGTTTGGTGCAGCCGTCTGCTGCAGATTGGTGTTGCTTCTCTGGCTGGTCTGTAGGCTCAGGGCTCAAACTAAGAGAGACAAGGTGGTTATCGCCCAGGCGCTTGTGGCTTTAGAATAAGGGGCTTCCACTGACATTTGGCTAACTATGCTTAAGCAATAGGCTGCCGGCCAAACAGCTCTTGCACACCCGGAGCCTAGGCTCATTGCACAGGGTAGAGTGTCTGGCTTGAGCAGCCCATGAGGGATGTCGAGCAAGGCATCGCACAGAGAGTTGCCCTGTATGCAGGCTTCTCTGGGAGGTATGTTGTCCTGCATAAGGGTTGCCTGCCCTAGTCTCCCTTTCCCAGAAAAACGGCAGAGGACAGGTCGAGAGCGCTAATGGCGACTCTCGTACACAGTCTTAATGTTTGATTGGGAAGGTACAACCTCTGCCTCTATTCCTCAATATATGGGTGACCTATTT